TATTATACCATACGACTAAAGCTTCTATCATTATAGTAGTAGATATAGTATCTTGATTTTATAGTTGATTTTAACCTTATATTTATAGGATAGTCTAAGGCTGACACTTATAGGATTTTCTTTACCTTAAAGTTATTTCTACCCTTAAAGTTAAGATTATCTTTCGTATACTTTTCCTTTCCTTCTCCTTCTAACTATTCTGACTAGACTATACTAAAATCTACATCCAACCTTTAACCACCTACAACTCTACCATCATACCTTTATAGCTCTAATACTCTTATATTTGTTTGTCATACTACTATCCTCTCTTCTCTAATCTGATTTATAGCCGTTTTATCGTATGAGAACCTAGGGATATCTACCCCCTATTTTTGAGAGGATATCTACCCTTCTGTCTTTTCCGTCTAGTCTATATGTCCTACCTAAGCGGAGGAAGGATACGCTGCCAGCGTATGCTACTGCATGGCGGCTAGGTTTATAATCTTATATTTATTTAATACTTTCTTTTACCTTTACTTTCTTTAATATTATATTTGATATTATAATATACTTTTAAATACTTTCAACTAAATATAAGCATATTATAATGATTATATATAAAGTCAATATAGATTGATAATCTTACAACTAATACTCTTAAATTTAACAGTTTATAGTAGAGACTATCTTTAATAGACGGCTATAATAGTTTATGATTATATTTAAGTATGATTTCTTTATAAATCTTACTATTTAGATTTAAATATTATATTTACAAATGGCTGCTAAGGTTTAAGATAGTATAATTATATATTCAATAAACGAATATTTATAAATCTTTATAATAGATTAGCTATAACTTACTTTCTTACTTTTTATTAGTCTTTATAATATTTAACATAATTTCTTTTCTTATCTTATTTTCTTTCTTCTTTTAACTGATTTTTCTATTCTATAGCTTATGCTTTAACAATTTAGTTAAGAGTTTAGTTTGTTATAGCTTAAGGTTTAGCGATTTATTAGTCTATAAAGCTTACTATACTATAGTCATATATACTCTTAAAAACCTATCATCTCAATTAGACATAACTACTCTCTATATTTATGACTACCAATCGTAAAAAAGGAGCTTACTGATTAACAGCGTCTAAAGCCTTATATCATATGGAAATTAGTAGTCTAGGAATGGTAGTTTATGATCTCTGTCTAGACTCTGGTTACCCTATGCCCAATCGTGACCTGCCCTCGCTTGATAGTCTGCACACACTACCATCGGCCTAGCGGTTAGGTTAAATTATGCCTAACTAGGTGAAGCCTCTATATGTTTTTGCTGGCTACTCTGTTAGACTGGGAACTTACATATGATTTGGGAATATAGTTTAGGTAGCCTAAAGAGAAGATTTAGAATTATAATAAAGTTTTCTTTGTAAGGAGGCTAGGTAGATTAAGATAGGTAGAAGTAAGTACTTGATTAATTGTAAGACTAAATCTTGTAGAGTAGTAAAACTCTGTACTTACTAAAGAGGCTATATAGCTTATGTATCGCCTAGGTAGCGGTAGTAGCTAGGCACGATAACTAGCTATACTAGAGTGTCGAATGGCTCTATTTTACAGTAACTACATAGCTTTATACTTAGTAGATAAAGACTTATAGCTTTTTATTATATAAAAGCTACTTATTATCTCTACTCTCTTTTATTATCTCTACTCTCTCTTATTATCTCTACTCTCTTTTATTATCTTTACTCTCTCTTATTATCTCTACTCTCTTTTATTATCTCTGCTCTCTTTTATTATCTTTACTCTCTCTTATTATCTTTACTCTTTCTTATTATTTCTTCCTCCTTATCTAGTATTTCCTTCTTCTCTTCTTTTCTTAAGTAGCACTTACTAGCCTAGTCTATCTCTCAACTTATAGCCGACTACTCTTCTACCTATACTGTTTAGAGTTCTAAGTTAGAATTGACATATATATACTCAGACTTAACCCTTAATCGCCTACAACTTAATACTAGTCACTCACACACTCATACAAGTAGGCCATTACAAAGAGACCAATCTATCCTCTACTCTTTGACTACCGCTATAAAAGGGGCTCGATAATTACAACATCTAGGGCCTATATCATATTAGAAATTGGTAGTCTAGGAATAGTAATCCGTGACCCCGGTCCGGACCCCGGTCGCCCTACGCCTAATCGCCGCCCGCCCCCGAACGGTAGTCTACGCAAACTACCGCCAGCCTAGCGGTTAGGCTTGTCAGTGTCCGGAGGCGGCAGCGTCGATGATGACAGGGCTAAAGGCTCGAAGACTGGACCCGAATCTTTGTAGCAAAGCAACTATGGGAACCATGACAACGACGGTGATGAGAGCTTGAATGCCAAATGTAAGCGAAAAGCCTATTATCTCCCGTAAGTAATGCATCGTCAAAAGCAAGGGGTGATCGGGCCAGACGTACCTTGTGTGGCAACCCAGTCGCTGATGAACCAAGAGTTGACAAAGGAAGATAGCTGCATTCACCTGTCAGTACTTGTTGCGCAACGCTTTGCTTGGCTGTTGTGAGGAAGGCGGGAGAAAGTAATTCTTACATTCAGCCACACTGAGTAGAATGTGATGATATCCATAGCGGCTTCAGGACAATTGTCGACCACATATGCGGCAATTGCCGTGTTCGATATCTGGAGCCCGGCACCCACTATAGGTTTCGTCTATTAGAACGTCTCAAACCATTGCTGCTGGAAAATTTCGTGACTCACAAAGAAAGAAAGCGGCCTGCCCAACCATAAAGTGATAATTGTTTTTGATCGAAAATCCCCAGAGTAGCAGTCCCGCAGCAAACATGACCACTCCAGGATACGTGAGCCAGAGCCGCATCTCAGGGACCCGGACTCGCCCTGCCCCAGCCGAGAGACGCCCAATCATGAAGTCGCCCAGTCTCCCCGAGCAGAAGACTTCAGCGAAAAGAGTGCCCACTATGAGGCCTAAGAACATCAGTCCTTGACCAATGACATCGTAGCTGCCATAAGCAACTGGAACCATCGTGACGATGGAGATGATCCTGTCTAATCGTCAGAACAGGATAGAGCCATAGGAGACCGTCGTTATGTGACTTACCACCAATACAAAGTGAACGAGTAGGCAAGTATTGGAATGACGATTACAGGGTGCGAAAACATCCCTAAGAATCCGATAATTGTAGCCCACGGTTTAGGATGGTGGATGCCCTGGATTTTGGAGAGATTCTGGAGATCCAATAAGTCTAAAGGATACATAAGGCGCATCAAAGATAGACATACTAGAAATGGAAGCTCAGTAGTCCTCTTGAAATGAATCTCTAGCTCTGAGGGACTAAGCACCGCTGCCCTAGGGTACAAGGTCTCGTGAACCACGAAAACCTCCAGGAGAAACAAGACGGCGAACAGTATCGTGACGTGATATTCAACCCAGTATTGACCCTTTGTAGCCACAAAAGAGCTTACTGATGAAAAGCAATTGGAGTTAGTATGCCCAGTTGCGGACATAGTGGTAGAGTAGATCGGGATGACTTACAGCAAGGCGCGACGTAGCCGCCGATATCAAGCGACATCACCCAAAGTCCGACTCTAAATCCTCGCTCATGTTCCCAAGATAGATCGTTGATAACGGATAGACCAATTGTAATCGCTGGCGAGGCTCCAAAAGCCTGGAAGAACCTCGCCGCCGAGTATCCCTGGATGTTAATGTCGTGGATAGATGTGCATCCACTGGCGACAAGAGAGACAGCAGTACCTAGCACTAAGATGGGTCGACGGCCAATAATATCACCAGTAGCCGAGTAGAATAGAGGGCCAAGAGAAGCGCCAAGGTTTGCGACAGCGAAAGTCCAGTTGATTTGTGTGTATGATGTGTCAAACTGCGCTTGCAAGTCGACGAAGGTTGGAATTGGCGCCGTGACGGCGTATATCATCATAAAGTAACCGAAACAAACAACAAAAATGATCGCATATTTGCGACGAAGAGTCCAATTCAGAGGATCGAGAGGATCGGTCGTCGGTCGGGGAAAGAGAGGCTTGCCGAAGGGATCTACGGCAACATTTTCACTCTCACCCATCTCCACTCTGATGTCACTGCGGTCCAAAGTTGAGGATGGATCTTGGGCGGCGCTGAATGGGCCTGACTTTTCGGAGTTGTCCTTTCCTAAGTAAATCATTGTTGCAAGAGGTAAGACGTACGCCGGTCATCACTGAGGACGAGGGAGAATATGCCGGAGAAGATGAAGGAGAAAAAGAAGAACAGATGGACCGTATAAGTACTGGAAGATATAACGGAACAGCGGATTCTGATTTCTCGCCTTTAACTTGGTGGAAAGTTTTGTGCTCCCCGGGAGGCTGTTCAGAGTATTAAAAGGTCTCCTCAATCGAACATAGGACAGAGGTATGGGCGATGATCGGTATCCAATGTCTAGGTACTTCCAAGATGAGCAGAAGGAAGTGACATCTGCAGCCTGCGATGCGGCGCCAAGCGTTAACAAGCGGAAGCTAGATGTAAATCACCCCATTAAGTATATCTAAAACAAGGACCTTATCTTATCTTGCCTTGGTCCTCCCTTGGTGCTCATTCTTAGCCTTTGGTCATAGGTACTTTAGTGACCTTGAACATTTGGGCCCTTCGCTAGTTTGGGTTGCGGTATGCGGCAAGATTTCCAATTTAGATGCCGCATCACACAACCGCACCTGATCTTCGCCCAAAAAGATCAGTGCCTTGCGGTACGATTACTTGTGTCATCAAATTGCCCAATTCTAAAAAACCAAACGGTAAATTAGGCAAAAGCTGTACCGGCCAGTTCGCCTTGTAGACTGCCTTTGCGGCAAAGGGATGCTCCTGGACTTGATATGCATATCCACAGCCCCCAACTGGTCAACTCTTAACACCTTGCCATCGACAAGCCACCGTCACAAACTCCCTGATTACTTGCCCCCTTTTGTTACTCTTATCGTAAGGCCGTACCATTCTTGACTAGGTACAGGTACTCAGCCCGCAATGGAGAACTTGCCCGCGACCGCGAAGACTCACATCGTGCCCGCAGCTACGGGCTACGCTTTCGAGGTCAAAAAGGGCGAGCGTTTTCGCATCGTCGATATTCATGGGCTTCAAATCGTTGACTTCATGGCTTGGGTTCATGAGCCGGGATTGAAGGAGCACGTTCGGATGTCTTACACCCGTTTCAGATACATGGGTGTCAGCCCCGATATTGGCGAGTTCCTCGTCACTAATCTCGATGCACCAGCTCTAAAGATCATGGCTGACACCTGCAAAGTCCACGATATGACGTTCATGTCTTGCTTTCCGGAGATCTACGCTGAGCGCGACAAACCCGGTCATCGATCATGCACTATGAACATTACCGAGGCCATGACACCGTATGGTATCACCTCGCGATTAGAACTCCCTGATCCCTTCAACATCTTCCAAAACTCGCCCAACTACACCCTCAAACCACTCGGCTGCAGCCGACCGGGTGACTACATTGAATTTGAGGCACTAAAAGATATGGTCTGCGGCTTGTCATGCTGCCCATGGGAAGAGGTAAGCCTTTTGGGCTCTTCACTTTTCCAAGTGTGGAATGACGGAGATGCTAAACCTTTGATCGCACGTAGGACGGAATGAATGGAGGGAAGGCGACAGATATTGCTGTTATAACGGGCCTATAAAAGCATCTGGAAATCACGCCGCCCGATGCAATGTGAATGAACTACATCGAAGGTCCTACAGAAAATCGTAGTAGAGTAAGAATTATTAGCTACACTTTTTAGTCTTATACCTGGGTATGCTAGTAAATTCATAGTACATCACTGAGCTATTAGGAAGCGGTTGGTCCTATTGGCAGCAGGTATCGAGCTTAGTCTACCAGTCCGCGCTATGCTCCCTACTCCGTACCGTTTGAGTGCAGCGACTCGCTTTCGCCATGAAAGCCCCAGTCTTAGCTAGCCTAAGTTCAGCCATAGCTAGTGAGATACCTATCAGTTCAAATATCCGCCGGCTCGGAAGCGCACTCTACGTTCCACTATATATGAGAAACGTGACTTGCGCCGCAGTCTTTATTTGGAAAGCACTGTCATCAGGACCAGACTTTTTAATACTGCAGGGTCCGATGGCAGTGTGAGATAAGCCTGGCGAGGAGACTTCATGAGGTTGGTACTGAATGTACGAGACTACTTCAGGGAGGTATTTTCAATCTAGCACGCCCTTGTCTTATCGCAGTATTGTGTGTGACCCACTCCCACCAAAGATCGTCTTCGAAAATGGTAATGAAGCTTGAAGCTGCTAAAGATGATAAGAAGATATACAACCGAGTGTCGAGTTAATGATGATAACAATGATTACAAATGATCACTCAAGAAGAACCCCCGGGCTTCCAACTGATGACTATTAATCCATGACTCGGAACTCTTGTCGATTTCCACAAAGAACTGATCGGCTCTTCGCACAACTCCTCAACACTGGCACCTAGAATAGACATATGTACCAAGAGCATCAGATGTCTTCCTGGAAAGAAATCGCAACCCAAAAGCAAGCCTTGGTGCTGGCAAAAACTCCCAGCTCATGGCATCTTCCCGAGTCGTTCTGCGCTGCCCCAACAGATACCACCTCACCCAAGCTCAACGTGACAACAGATAATTTTCTTGCCACCCTTCCGGCCGAGGCTCGGCTCAGCCCAAGGGAGCTTGCCATCACTTCCGAGACTGACGTTGCTCGACTCCTGAGCAAGTATGAGTCTTCAGAGCTTACGGCCGAGGAGGTCGTCACTGCTTTCTGTCATCGAGCCGCAATCAACCACCAGATGACAGAAACTTTGGCCGAGGTCAGATTTACCGAGGCCATCGCAGAAGCCAGAGCTCACGATGAATATCTGCGAGTCCATAAGAAGCTCATTGGGCCTTTTCACGGCATTCCTTTCAGCCTCAAAGATCAACTAAGGGTTGATGGCTTGGAAACCTCGATGGCATACATTGGTTGGCTCGGGAAAGTAGAGACGGCTGAGACCGAAAGCTTGCTCACCAAACAGATTAAGGGCCTTGGAGGAATCATCATTGCCAAGGTAGATATATAGCAGGACTTCCTCTGACTGATTCATTTCGTCCCGCGCTAAATTGACCTTACGTAGACACACGTACCCCAAAGTCTTATGATCGGAGAGGCCGTGTCAAACTTACATCCCCCGGGGACCAATCCCTACAATCGGCTTCTCGCTCCTGGAGGAAGCTCGGGGGGTGAAGGTTCTTTACTCGCCTGCCACGGTTCGCTGATTGGTGTAGGTACAGACCAGGGCGGATCGATTAGAATCCCTGCTGCCTTTAATAACCTCTTCGGGCTCAAACCCAGCCACGGACGACTTTCCTACAAGAACATGGCAAATTCACTCACGGGGAAGCCTGTAGTGCCGAGTGTTGTCGGACCCATGTCGACGAGGATTGAGAACCTGATCCACTTTACCAAAGCTGTGATCGAAACAGACGGTTGGAAGGTAGACCCGTCTCTCATAAACATGCCGTGGCGTGCATCTATCTTGAACGATGTCAGGTCTCTCGCAGATTCGGGAGGGCTCTGCTTCGCTGTTTTGGCAAATGACGGTGTACAGACACCGCACCCCACGATTGCCCGGGGAGTACAGCTTACGGTTGATGCTGCACGGCGAGCTGGGCACAAGGTCATCGAGTGGCGCCCTCCTAGCCATTCCGAGGGTTCTGATATCTGCTGGGAGATTTTATTTGCGGAAAGCTACGATGTTCACGATGCCCTCAGGTTAAGTGGCGAGCCACTTCTCGAAAGTCTTGAGGCTGTCTTCGGGAAGGATGAACCCCTTCCAAGCATGAGTCTTCATGACTATTACGAAATTATGTTGAGATTTAGGAAGTATCAAGAGGCTTACGCCGAATATTGGGAGTCGACTCGATTCTTGACCGGAACTGGTAGGTGCTAAGCTCCAGTTGAGGCTGATCATCTGCTAAAGAAAAGGTTCCAAGGTCGTCCAGTGGATGGAATTATCATCCCAGTGGCGCCGCACGCCGCTGTTCGACATGGCTCGTACTTCGGATATAGTAAGTTACTCGATAGAGAGAAGCCCACAAACTGGATGCTAACCTGGTAGGCTACACAACTATTTTCAATCTCCTAGACTATGCTGCGGTGACAGTACCTGTGACTTTCGCCGACAAAAGTCTCGACAAAGCAGATCCCTCGTATACCCCAATCAACGAGGTCGACGAGAAGAACTGGAAAGCTTGTAAGTTATGAAGGTTGACATTCGTGTAGCGCACTGCGTGTCTGACAATTTCACATAGACGACGAACAAATCTACCATGGTGCCCCTATTGGGATCCAGGTCGTGGGCCGCAGATTAGAGGAAGAGAAAGTGATGGCTCTTGGTGAGGCGCTTCACAATGCACTCAACAATAGGTCTAGATGTAAGATTTATGCGTAATGGCAGCGATTGCTGAGTGCCCTGACTAGAAATCAATTCTTCCATTCTATATGAGCAGTATTTAGAGTAGTCAAATAGGGATACAAACATCGTACACAGAATACCAGCGTAGTCCTCGTATTGAACAGTTCAACCCATCGAAATATTTTCGACTCCAGTTTTGCTGCGACACAGTGTAGCTTTTCCCCCGTGCCTTTGATGGCAGTCGATGCCCTTTGGTGGTTCTACATATAGAGTTATCACGCAGCTAGTCTGGCGCAACGTAATTCAGCCGGGTTCGACCTGACTAAGGTACCTGTAGCTACGGCAAGGTACCACCTCAACGTTGTTAGGCTTGAAGTCTGGGCCCACCAAAAGCAGTGCATCATCCCACTGAAGGACTCAGGCGAGTCATATCGCTAAAGTGCGGCAGCTATTCCCTTTTCGAGTGCCGCAAATCTGCAGCCCGCGCGTCTCAAGCTAGAATGGGCCTCTATGCGCCGCTCGCCTAACTAGGCAATGTAATGCTAGCTGTTGACGGCGTGCTTCACCTTTGAGCTTGCATATTTATAATGTACAAGGGAGAAGGTAGAGAAGTGTCTATTAGTGCGGTTTTTTTGGAGATTATCGGCAGAAACTCCGTCGTCCTTGTTTGTCTAAGCACCCTTATCAAAGCTCGCCGTGATGGACACAGCAGACCTGTCGGTTGACTGGCTGCGGTCGATTACTGTTGCACTTATTCTGATCTTGGCAGTCCAGATCGTGCAAAACCGTCGCAAGGCCCTGAATCCGCCGGCCCCTGGGCCTTTTCTGGCTAAATTCACGGCTTTACACTTTCACTAGATTAAGTTTACTAGTAAGTTGACGGGAAGCTTGCAGTAGAGAACCAGTGAGCAGGCATGTTGACGACTTTCAAAAGGCGACCGCACCGCATATATTGAGAGATTGCACCAGAAATATGGCCCGGTAGTACAGCTATGCCCCGGCGAGGTGAGCTTCGCCGATCCAGACGCCTTGCGAGACATATACGGCGGTACTCGACGTTTTCCGCGGCGTGAAGACAGAATGTCGTTTGAACATTTCGGCATCGAGAAGTGAATAGCGATTCAAATTCGGACGCCAGACAAGGAAGATAAAATTGCTGATCGTATCACAGTCTAACTGTCACAACAGATGCCGCGCTGGCAAAACAGCGCCGGCAACTAATCGCAAGCATTTATACAGCTCCGGCCATCATATCCACTTCGTCCCAGGAGATGTTCAATCTAGTGGCATCCTGCATGCAGGAGCACATGAACGTCGGTTCCGGGGAGGAGAAGACCTTTAACATGTAGCTCTTATATCGGAGTTTTGGGACCGATATAATGAGTCATCTAGTCTTCGGTTCGGAAAATGCTCTGAACTTAGTAGGAGACGAAAGCCAAAGATCTATACTAGGCAGACTCTACGGACCAGAAGAGCCCCCAAGTTACCACTACCGCCGCTTCTTCCTTGATAATTTCCCAAGTAGGTCTCGTCTTGCATAATGTGACTCTGTCTGCCGTTTGGTGCTGATGTGTTTAGACATAATACGCCTTATTTCTACCTCACGAATACTTCCCATGCCTATTGCCTGGCTTGGAAGCTCCATCGCTAGTGATTTCAACCCGTAGGGTTTAAAGGTCACCAAAAGCATACTAGCAAAGAAGACATATTCTGAAAAGCCAACCCACACAGAGAAGCTAGTGCAGAGTTTTCGTAAAGATGGGTCAAAAGGGGTCATACCGTCCGAGACATACATCGCCAGCGATTGTCTAGATTCTCTACTTACGGGTAAGCTCCGATAGAAGACCTCACATAGTTCCAACCGATGTTAACATGAACCTACAGGAAGCGTCGGTCCACCAAAAGGTCTTATATAGCTGACGTATCATCTTTCGCTGCCTGAGAATAGGCACCGGCAACTGAGACTACACAGCGAATTGCAAGCTGCTGGATATACTCCGAGGTCTACTATAGAACTTTCCATCCCCGCCAAACTTTCATACCTCAACAGTCTAATCCGGGAGACTTTACGGCTGAACCCCCCTATACCCTTCTCAATCACTCGGTATATAACGCAAGAAAATATTATAGTTATAGGCTATAAGATCCCCCTATGTATAGGTTTCCTCTCCATGTCAGACTCTTAAGAATTAAAGAAATTGATCGATTGAAAGACGAAGGTTTCAGTCCAGCCATGGTCTATCCTTCGTCACCCAACCATCTTTC